TATGCATATGCTATAAAGTTTTATGATATTTACTATACATATTGTGTATATGTGCATATATTCAATACATGTGGTAAATAATATAATATTATATAATTGTAATTTAATTAAATATAATTATTAAAAATATATAAGTTTATATAATGAAATTCTAACGCAAAAGAAAATTAATTCATTATATGTACATACATATATTAAATCTTTATACCTTAGAAAACAAAGAAAGAGTTTAGAACAATATAAAATGAATATGAGATTTGAAAGTAATAATATCTTAATATAAACATATTCTGCATTTTTATTTTTCTGTACAAACATAAATAAAATAAAATAAAATAAGAAATAGATAAATTTATTGGATGAATAAAAAAATATCAATATCATTTAATACAAATTTACAAGTAACCTGACGATTTGTTATTAAAATGGATAAAAAAAACATAAATTATATATAACTTAATATAATTGATATAATTCACACACAAAATATAATTATAATAAATTATTATGTAATGTTAGTCACTAGAATATAAAAACGTATTAAATCACATCCTATAGCACACATTATATTTTATTATATAATTTAAAATATAAAGTATAAACAATTCTATAAAAATTTTATTGATATTTCGAGAATTATATTTTCAAAAAATTGTATAATGCAAGATTTTATAATACAAAAAGTCTTTAGGAAGATATGTATACATGTAATTTTATTTTATAAATGTTACTTTTTTTCCTAACATGCAATTTTCCATACAGAATATTCTTACCTATGCTCATCTTCAGCACATGGAATAAACTTTGCACATTCCCTTTTTTGAAATGTTGCTTCTATCCAATTGCGTTCAGTTGTCTATAATTGAAAAGACATATAAATAAAAATTGTAAATATAAAAAAATTAAAATTCTTCTCAAATATAAAAAAATTTATATATTATCTCTTGTTATTTATCATATTGTAATAAATTAGCCAATTGTATTGCAAAATTGCATTTAAAATAAAATCTATAATAATGATGATGATGATGATGATAATAATAATACTAATAATAATCATATTGACAATAATAATAAATAATAATAATAAAACAATAATAATAAACAACAGCTAAAATATTAATTTATTAAATATTAATTATAATAAATTTGAAACATTAGATATCTTTGGTATATAAAAACAAAATAAATATCCTTAATAACAAAATATACCTTAATTTTCTTTTTTTTCACTTTTGGCGTATTTGCACCACAGATAATATTTCCAATTGCCATCTTGATGAGTGAAGTTTATATTCACATTAACTTAAGTGACACACTAATACAAAAATTTCATAAAAAAACTAGAAGCTTATTATATGTGCATAATATTCATATATTGAATTTATTGCACATACAAAATATATTATAAATTTTTATTATGATTATGTATTCATTAAAATTATATATAATTATGTAAAATTATGTATAACATGATATATATAACATGATTATGTATAAGATTATGTATAACATGATAATAAATACACATAATACAAGAAGAAAAGCAATAATAAAGAGATTAACAAAACTTATATATATATAATAAAGATAAAATGGATCTATTAAATAAAGTCTATCTTATTGCAGTAAATACTCTTATATGACCATAAATAAAAAATTTTTAAATAAAAATCTGCTTATTTTGCTAAATTATCTCAGAAATTATACTAAAAACTCACCAAGGCCAAGTGGAGAGCATAAGATGATTTATCATAACAAAAATTCCAAACCATTTACTCCTGTCTATAGTAATTTACAAATAAATCATAATGAAAATTAAATTGTTTTTTTTTATTTTATCTTTTCGAAAATAATTTAATTAATAAGGTAATAATTTAATTAATAAGGTAATGAATTTTTGCATTAAACACAACATTATTTAAATAATTTTTAGATATTTTCAATTTACATACATAACAACATATTTTATGTATTTAACTGAAAATTATATTGTGTTTGATGTTATTTTAACTAAATCTTAATTTAATAAAATTACTTAAAGAAATAAATAAATAAGATAAAAAATATAAAAATTTTAATTTGTGTAAGTCGTGCAATGTAAAGTAAATATAACAACAGATAATATATCTCAAAGTTTCCTATTTGCTCGTAAGATAGGGATATCATAGGTATATGAGATATATTTAGCATGTAAAAGGTAAAAATCTTTTGTCATATAAGCGATATTTACTGTACTCTTTATAAATGTTAGAAAATTATATATAGCTGTTCAGCTATATAGCTGTAATATTGAATATTGAATCAGCTATAATATTATTAACTTTTAAGAATCATGTATTTTGTATTTTGACACATTAATTTTTTCCAGAAAGTATTCTTAACTTGTTAAAAAAACTTCTTAAAACTTGTAATATATTAATATGATTTCTAAAATTAAACTGATTAGTCTAAAGTCGAAAAATCTGTTTTAATAAATAAATTAATAGCAATATAATTAATAGTGATAAAATATAATAGTAAAGTAAAATAAATAAAGTAATATTTATATTATAAGAATAAAGTAATATTATGTTATAAGAATAATTTATTAAAAATTTATCTATTTGGTCTCTTTTGCAATAAAAGATTATGTAATACTAAAAAATAATAATATATAAATTAATACTTAAATAATATAAATTATAAGTAATATTCACAAATTTTATAATGTTTAATGTATAATAAAATAATGCAATAGTGATGTAATGTGAAACTCAAATAGTATTTTAAACGTTTACATTTGTGATTGCAATAAAATTATTAACATATTCATTACTCACCATTCGACAAGATTTATTTTTGACAATCATCTTTAATCAATAAATATAATGTAAATTGTGTTTAAAATATTGCATTTTAAATAATTTTGATTGTCATATTAGGATTACATAATTTCTTATTCCATCACATCATCTTAGAAAACCATGTCAACTAAAAGAAATAGAATCATGAATGTTTTAAAGATAATAAAAACTGTTATATTAAAAGAAAATTATAAATGAAAATCTTCTATTATTTTGCATAAATAATAAATGAAATAAATAGACTTTCAAAATAGACAATGATTGCTATAGAAAGCACAATTTCATGATATTATAACATAGATATAACATAATAGATATGATATGATTATAACGCACAAAGATATGATTATAACATAAAGCAAAATCTGATATGATTATAACATAGATATATATGATTTTCTGTGGTTATTCAAATCTATTTATTTTTGTTGTCAGATTGACTAAAGATCATGTTATGAGTCTTATTAAAATTTCAAGATTTGCTAACAATATTAGCTTGAATATTTCCATTTAAGTAATAAATCGACATCCTTGATTTGACTGCTGCGATTCCTTCAATGATATTCAATTTAATTGTTGAAAAAATCAACTTCTCAGGAAAATTTCAAATTGTGATATAATTATTATATGTAATACAGGATGTTTCTAAAGTGACTATTTTGAAATTAGAAATTATTTTAAAAAATTGTTATAATATGTCTATTGTTATACAAATTTATTTATAAAAATTCAGCTGCTTTATGTCATGCAAGATCTTAACCAGAGCAGTATGTTTGCTAACCATTAGATTTCTTATCTGGAATTTCATTAATCCTGAATCGTAGAAGAGATGTAACTGATCTTCGAAATCATATTATTGAAACGGTTCAGAAGATAATACCTGCAATGTTTGAATGTATTCTATGAAACAGCTTGATAATTGCCACGTGGAGTTTAATAATTAAATTAGATCGATAAAGTATGTATTTTGTAAATATATATATTTTTATATTTTTCTTTCTTGTATTAAAAGCATTTTTATAATTCCTATTAATATTATACAAAATGGATAGTCACTTTAAAAACATTCTGTATAATATTCTTGCAAATTTAATTGAATTAAAATTGAAATGATTATAAGAATCAAGTTATTTTATAAAATAAAAAGCATCTGTTTGAAGATAAAATTAATGGCTTATTACATACATTAAATACATGTTTATATATATATATATATATATATATATATCATTTCTAACTATTTATATAATAATTTAGCAATAATACAAGTGCTGTTTGCGCCTAACAAATCATAAGAAATCCGTTTTTGTACGTACATACCTGCATTTTTTTACTGTAACTTAACTTCTTTCTCTCTCTGTTGTTTAAAAAAAATACGAGTAGTCATTTCATTCTAACAATAAGTAGAAATTGCGCAATTAAAGTAACAATTCAATTAAGGAGAATAAATGCAATATTCCTCAAGTTAATTAAATAATATAACGAATTTGTGTTCACGCACATTCACTGTAATAAGAGCCGAAAATCGTAGCGTTAAATAATCGCGTACATATACTTTGTATATTAGCGAATGTTTTCTCACGAATAAATATTGTATATTAATTTCAACTCAAATGTATTACCCTCCACATTATCTTATATGCGGGGTATCACGAGTTAGGATTAAACCAGGGTTCTAGCGATTACCAAGCGACCTGGCTTTACCCATAGCACCGATGACATACTACGGGATGGCTGCTGTTAGACTTCTCCTTCCCTCTCTGCTATAAGTCATCGGTCATATGACTTCTATACGTTATACTAGATTGGTAATTTTCCGATACTAAAAGTGAAACAAAGGCAGCCATTTTTAATTGGGCAGAATATTGTATATTGGATAAATTTTCATTCTGTGTCGTACTTGACAATTTATTGGCGGAATTATTAAACGTTATATTTTTCTCTCTATAAATTTAATCTAAAACATTTTTTCGTATCATATCAATTTTCAGAAAATGTCATCTTGATTTCTCGCTCGTTTACATGTGACCGTATCACGTGACTGAAGTTTGACAGCGTCTGCTGGCGCTCATGCTGTTACGCATGCGCGAGATTTGTCCTTCCAACTCGCAGTGCCATCCTTTACGCGAGCAGTCTATATATCCTGTATCTATGACTTTCTGTCAGTCGAATTTTCTCCGTTGAATGGATTTTTCTCGGTGCAACGGTATTTGTCATCGAAGAGTAAAGAGTGAAAGAGTTTGATTTATCGGGAGTTGATCCGCGTGTACACGCGTTTAAAAATCTTTTCTCCTTTTTTTTTATTCTGTCAAGGCTAGTCATTGCTATGCATATACAATTTACGCGAATGGACGAATCAACGAGATAATTTAACGATGACGAGGAGAACGTTTTAAGTGCTGGAAGAGGTACAGCTTTAAGCTGATAAATATATATCTATTACGACGATTCTAACCTTATTCGACGATAAAATGAAGTCGGGCAACATGGACAAGCATAGAGGCACGATACTGCTAAAATCGGAGGAAAATGAACAGGTCTTTCAGCTGATAGGAAATCGGTGCCAGGTGAGATAACCATTTCTATTTTTTGATATATATTAAGGTCACGTTCCAAAAGAAAAATTTTACTTGATGGCTGGCTCGATAAAATTTTGGATCGAATTTTACCATCGACAATTCTCCACACAGAGACATTTCGGAACGTAACTTAATACAGTTTTGATATGAAACGCAATTTAAATTCTCCGAGTTAATAAGAGCCAAACGCGAATGATAGTGCTTAAGGAAAATATATTTTTCTAATTGAAAAATTGTACATAGAGCACATATGTATAATACCGCAAAATTGGAAATTCTAATTATATCCATTTAATTATATCATCTTATAATATTTTGATCTATCTAACGTATTGGCTCGAATTTCAAACTTTCTATTTAAGTTTTGTTCTCTGTTTTTACATAGGTGTGCCTTAATATTTATGATCGATTATTTTTTAATTATATTTTTGATAGTATTTTTATTATTAATACATAAATGTTTTTAACTAAATGCATATTTTAAAGTTAAATATGTTCACACATGTTTACAATAAAATTTAGTCTAACATATAATATATAATTTTAAATATATATATATATATTTTTAATATATAATATACATAATATTTAATATATAATTTTAAAAGATTGACTTGTTCAATATAAGAATAAAATATAGAAAAATATTATAAAGCAAATATTTGAGTGTAAAATAAAAACTATGTCTTTTTAGTTGCAATTAATTATATGGAATAATCATTTTGATAACTCTAACTTATATGTGTAAATATAAAATAAAAATATATTTTATTCTTTTGTTTGATATACAACAGTACATTTTGCTTAAGTTTTGCATTTACATAAAATTTGATTCATATATTTGATCTATATAATTCATCAAAATGTTTATTAAGTAATATATTAATAAAGTTGTAATATTTTAATATGTATATATGTAATTTATGTAATATCATAATAAGAGTATTAAAAAAATGATGATTTTTATATAAATTATTTTATATATTGCTGTGCAAGGTTATTGCTGTTATATAGTTAGCTTAAATAAAAAAAAGAAAAGAAGCAAAACTAATATTAATTTTTTTATTAGATATATTATTTATTAGATAATATTAATTAAGAACAACCTTTGCTTTTTATATTTTTATAATTTTTCAGAACATTTTTCAGAATAGTTTATTTGTTTTTAGTGTTTAGCAGCTGGTGTTATACAATTATATTTGACGGAACCTCCTTTACATAAAGATTGGATTAAAAAAAGTACAGGTATTATAACTCTAATAAGAGACAATCCAAGACGCAGCTTCTTTTTACGATTGTATTGTCTGCAAAGAAAAGCAATGTTGTGGGAACATGAAGTTTATAATTCAATGGAATACAAAGCACCAATATCATATTTTCATACATTTGAAGCAGAAGATTGTATGGCTGCATTTAATTTTGCAAGTGAAACTGAAGCTATTACATTAAGGTATATCAACAGAATAATTAAAAATTAAGATAAAAGTTATTTAATTTTATTACAAATAAAAAAAATTAAAAAAAAACATCTGAAAGAAATATATATGATATATTTTTATAGAAACATACTTCTTGGTAAATTAAATGCTAAACGCCAGAGGAGACAAGAAAGGAAAGCGAAAGAAGTAGATCCTAGTAGTACTTTATCATGGAAAAATCAAACTAGTGTGTCAGCTTTTACTGTTACATCAGGTTCACCGGGTAACTTATCAAATGGTGCACCTGCAGTTGGTGTTAATAGAAGTGCTTCGAGTAGTTCAATGTACAAAACAAAGAAGAAAAAAAATGAACAGGACCTTAAACGCAAGTTAACAAAAGATGATATTAGTCTTCCTTCTAATTTTAGGTACAGTTCTATCTTGTTTCATATCTGTTAGTTAGATACATATGTATGTTTTTTTAATATGTATAATAATGTTATATCATTTTTCATAGGCATGTGGCACACTTGGGATGGGATGTAAATAATAAAGGTCTGGAATTAGATTCTGTAGATTCAGAATTACAACAATTTTTCAATAATGCTGGTGTATCTGAACACGAACTCCAAGATAAAGGCACTCGAAAATTTATCTATGATTTTATTGAAAGGAATGGAGGAATGAGCGCAGTGCAAGAAGATATTCGGCCATTGACTAATGTAAAAAGTATCATTCAACCTCCTGCACTGCCGCAAAGGCAGGAATATCCTCCACCTGTTCCAGCACGAACAATACCTGTAAGTTTTATTCTTATCTTATTAGTCATATCTTAATTTTATTAAAACTTTATCAATTTATATTTTTTATTTCTTATTATATATTATTTGATAAAATTAATAACGAAATAATAGAATGTATAATTAAAAAATCCTTTTATTACATACGTAAAATTAATAATAGATTATTCCCTTTTAATTTATATATTTAAATTTCTCCGAAATATGAGATATTAAAATGTTTTCTTTTTTTTTAATGTTTTATAGTTTCAAAAATGTGTTTTTATTATCAAAAAATTTGTCTTATGAGTGAAAGTGTTAAAGTCATATGAAAATCACTTTTTTTCAAGGAAATTAGAGGATTTTTTAAAGCATTTATATTTATAGTTTTTCTTATAACGAATTCAATAACTTATAAAATTCTAGAGTCTCTCATGTTAAAGATAGATAATTATCTCGAAAATTAAGTGCTACAAAAATTCTAAATAAAAGATTTTAAGAGAAACAAAACATAGTGGTGTTTAGGTATTATTTTTTCATAGATATTTTTTGCACATTTATAAAATGAAATTTCTGAATTCCTTGAATATAATGTGCAATGTTATTATATATTATTAATATTAATATTATAATAATATAATATTATATTAATATTATATATACATTATAATATAATATTGTATTTAATGTATTTCAATAAAAATGTGTTATGCATTTGTATGTGTATTTCAGCATCAAACACGCAGTGCTCCGCCTTTACCTCCAAATCGTCTTAGCGTATCTTCTCCATCACCAAGTGTGCCATCGAGTTTACCTCTAAACACATCTCCAAATGTTTTGTCTAATCCTCCATCAGTACATAGAACCTTACCATCAAGACCGCCACCACCCAATATAACTACAGCACCGACTCTTCCTCCACCTCCGCCTCCGCCTCCACCTACTCCTCCTTCTAGAATTAATTCCAATATTTCCATGCCACCTCCACCACCACCTTTACCGGATATGAGTAGCACCAACAACATAACAATTAACACAAACGCTACTAATAACAACAATGAAGAGTCGATTACTGATCTTAGACCAATGCTTATGGAATCTATTCGAAGTGGTACAACTTTAAGGGTATGTATACTATACATAGAAGTGAATGAGATCATATTATTGAATGAAAATTAGTTTGTTGTATATTTAAATTTATTCTCTCTCTCTTAAAATATATTTTAATTAATTAATTAATTTAATTTAAAATATTGTATATTAAATAGAAAATACACAAGTATAATGATGTATAATATATGAAAAAGCTAGAATTATATTTTTCTTTATCTCCACTATTACTCGTATAATACATAAATGAAAAGAAAGGATTAATAAAAATGAAAAAGGCAGGCATGTTTTTTTAAATACCTTTAATAGTTTAGATATATAAATGTATAATAGTCACAAAAAGGGGAAATAAAGGAAAAAAAGGGGATTGGGAAAGAGTAAGAAAAAAGAAAAAACAGAAGCGAAAGAAAGCGAGAAGAGAAAAATTTCTAAATATAATTTTAACAGATATATAAATTTATTTTTTTTTTTAATTAATTTCATAAAAAGTACAAATAAAGATAAAAAAACTTCAATTAGTAGTTTTGGTTCAGCAATAAGAAATATTGTTTAATAGATATTTTACTTTTTAGAAAGTTAATAAGGAAGAAACAAAATCAGTTGCGATTCAAGAGGATTCAAGAGGAGAATTGCTTCGACAAATACGTGAGGGCATTGAATTGAAACCTGTTCCAAACGAAGTAAAATCAAATACGGGACCTGTACCTCGCGGTGGTCTGGCTGATGCGTTATCCAGAGCTCTGGCTGAACGATCTCGTGCAATTCATAGTGAAAGTGAAGAATCGACTAGTGATACTACTGATGATGATGAATGGGATGATTAGATCACAGGTTAGTAGGCAAATTTTTTTTACACATTTCTGTCATATAAAAATCTGTTATATTTTTATGATATTTATATTTTATATTAAAAATGAACAATAATGTTTCAGATAAAAATATAATTAATAGACTACAATAAAATATACTACTGTGATAAACATATTATTCATAAAAATATTAACAAAGCTAACTATAAATATGTAATATAAATTACTTTAAATTTTAATATCCAAAGAAGAAAATCAGATAAAAATATTTAAAAGAAGCAACTTAGATATATGAAAATAAAGGTTGTACAACCCCTAAAACAGGTAAGAGCAAATTATAATATTATATATTGTAATTAACATTTGAAGAGAAAAAGAAAGAAGAAATTATAATATGGTATAAAAATGTTAGCAATTAATCTTTCTTTAACACTATTATGATTATAATTTCTTTCATTAAATATTTGAAATATTTCTTTAAATAAAATTATTTTTAAAATTATTTTTAAAATATCTATGCATTGTGTAATCTAAATTTGGAAATTAAAAATTATAGTTTTCTTTAAAATCATTTTACAAAATCAATTAAGATTTCTTTAATAGAATTATATATTTATATGTTTATGTAATCAAAAATAAATATTTTATTTTATAAATTTATTGATATTATATTTTGCAAATAATTTATGAGATATTATTTACATTATTTTTTTAGAGAATTTGCATGTAACACGATTAAATACAATCATTTATTAATGATACTTAATAATTTTTACTGTATCTAGTTCGATTGACCAATTAGAAAATTCTATGTTTGATCAGAATGTGGATAAAGTTTTTTTTAATATAGAATAGAATAATAATAATAATAATAATGATGAAGTTAAAAATTAATGTCTTATTTAAAAAAAGTTTATTAAAAGTAATTTTATTTAAAACTTAGAATAAAAGTTTGATAAATATTTTCATATATGATGCATATTTTTTTCTGTTTCATTAAATGGTGCATATTTCACTTTTCTGTTTCATTAGAAAAATGATATATTATAAATGAATAATCATTATATCATTTATATTACTGCCATTAATATTACTATTTTAAATTTATTATAAATAATACCGTGAGAAAATGTCATTATGTAATGACTATATGTTTATTGATTATTCCTGATGGGTATACTGGAATGGTTTATAGATAATAAAATAAAGAGTTGATAAAGCTAAGTTAAAAAAAATTTTTAATTTCCTAGGCCAATAAGAACCAAATATGAATGATAGTATGTAAGTTTTAAAGATAATTAATTTTTTTTAATTATACAATGTACTTGCAAAATAATGTATACAAATGAGAGAATGGAAAAGAAGAGAAAAAGAGACAAAAAAGAGGAATAGAAGAGAAAAAAAGAGATTAATCATTATTGTAATTCTAGTACTATTTAATGGATTCAGAATAAAATTTGTAAGAAGAGATATTAAATTTTGATTGACTATTCTTACTTGGTTTCTGTTGTCATAAGATTATAATTGTCAAGATCATACATAGATAAGATATAAAATCATGTGATGTATTATAAATAGATATTTTTACATTTATCTTACAAAAAAATGAAAATAAATAAAGTTTCTGCTGTGATTGTATATTGTCTACATATAATCCACAAAATTTGAATTAACAAGGAACTAAATAGTAGTCTTAATTATTCTAAACTTCTTTCGTGAATTAGTTATTATTATATGATAAAAAATTAATATGTCAAAGAGAATATGAAATAAGTTTTTAGTAATTTTTACATATCATATGAAGGAAGAGCGAGGATTCACTTTTTCACTTGTACAAATTCAGCATTATACAAATATATCTCGGTTCGTGCACCGAAAGTATCGAGTAATATGAAGTGTGGATTTTACTTTAAAAATGAATAATTGAATATTATCTGTAGTAATATACATATATATCAAGTGCACATGTTATAATTTTTACAATATTAAACAATATTAAGATATTGTCAATATTAAAATATTGTCAATAATAAAATACAGTCTATTAAAGATAATAAATGATTAATTATCTTTATTCATTGCATGTTTTATTCTGATAATCGATATAGTTTGATGGTTTTAGTTTATTTTATATTGTTCTCTACATATATTTTGTTATTATTGATGTAGATATGGAATATGGAAATTCAGCAGCAAGAGAAGTCATCAGAAGATCAATACAAGGCATAAAATATTGTTGCCACTATGGAGAAATCCTAGTCAGAAAAAATAATAAAATTAATTATTATATATTTTATTATATTTTATACAATTTCATATCAAACTATATTATTCAAACTAGATCCATATATGTTTCGTTTCACATTATATTGTTTGATTAGTATATAATCTAATATGTATATCATTTATATGAATTTAATATCCTAATATATGATTACTATTATACTCAAATAAATGGAAAAATTTATACTTATTTGCAACAATAACAAAATAGCAAGATATTTAAGCTCATTTGTTGATAAAAACGGGAATGTAAAGTTGCAAAACTTTACAAATTGGATATGCTTTGAAAAATAGGAGTAATAAAACATTTGAAGATGTAACAAACATATTATTTGCATATATGGTCAATAAGTACATTTTTTATTAGTTATAATGTAATAATTATAGACAACATCAATTTTATATTTTCTTGCAGATTATATTTTTTATATATTGCAAAAAAAATATATATTTTTACTTTTTTATGTTTCTATATCAAATAATAATATGCAATATGTTTGTAAAATATTTTATAAGCTTTTAGATATATTATTATAAATATTATTATAAATTTTGCAGAAAATATATTTTTTGATCATTTTAATTACATTTTTTAACTAAATCTCGATAAATGAATAAATTAGAAATATCTTATAAATCAAGAAATTTGAATTTAATAAAAATCTGCTAAAATTTATTTCATCTGTATTTTAATTCATCATAGTTTTTAATCATTTATAATATATAACATTTATAAAATTAAAAAATATAACTTTACATCTATATTTATCAAATAAGATCAAAATTTAAGTTTTATGCTAATTAATTGCATATACATATTGTTTTTATTAAGTTCCTGTCCCTTCATTATAGTCTTCATTGTACGGAATTATATATATTAGAAGCAACAGATCGAAAAATTTCGATTAATTTAAATACACACATACATACTATCACATATGTACATACTATCATACATGTATATACTATCATTCGCGTTTAATAATATCTATTAGTAAAAAATATACTGAAAACATATTTTTATTATAATATATGTTAATAATGGTATGTGTCTTACATTTGCAAAATAAATTTTTTATTTCATATCTGATTAAAAGAGAGATTCACAATTTTTATTAATTCATGAAATGAGAAAATTTTTGATATATTTTATCAATTTATATTATCAAAATGCGTATAGTAGTATGTGCATATGAGATTATATATTTTACAAAATAAGAATTTATATAATTTCTTTCAATTATAATTATATATTTGTGTTACACTTTATAAAAATAAGACTATTATGTATAAGACGATAATGCGCATATTATTATTATTATTAAAATTTATTATTACTATTTTTTATCTTTAAAAATTAGAGAAAAATATAAATTTCTAAAAGAAATATATATAATATTATTAATAACAAATATATTATTTAATAATAATAAATATATGATAAATGAAAAGTACATTATATATTATATTTTATAAATTATTTCCTACAGTTATAATACAAATGTTTTTAATTTTATAATATTGTTATTGTATTATTTCTCGCAGTTTTTAAACTTTTCATCGTCAGCAATAAGAGCTATATTTTCATATCAATAGTTTATATTTTAATAACTGCTTGCATAAATTAAAATACGACACAGTGTATATGAATACAAACTATATATTGTGCCCAATTGAAAATGGCTGAACGTGCTTTACTTTTAGACCGATAGTTAGCGGTCTAGCATAAATAGTAATAAAAATAGTAAGAGAGTCTCATTCTGTGTCTTGTGTCTATGGTCTTATAATGCAAATTGTGTTTTTGAACATTTGTTTTAATACTTTGATTTATGAAAATCTAACAAAGAAACAAAAGGAATGAGAGAAGAGAGAATAATCATTTAAAACAAATATGTTTCGAGATATTTTAGGAAAAACAATGTTCAGCACAGGAAAAAATTATTTGAAACTTATTAGGGGAGCTAGGATTTTGCATTTAGACAGTAGAAAATCTATACCTCAAAAACCTGAACTTAAAACATTACCAAGTAAGAAAATACACAGAATTATGTATTTTGCATATTTAATTGAGATAGACTTATATTAAATCTAAAGTGTGCATTTACAGTTTTTCAGTATCCAGTAAGTCAAGAAGATACTCGCAGAGTTTATGTGTGGGGTCTTGCAGACCATGGGGCTATTGGGGAAGCAACAGCATTATATAAAGATAAAATTTCATATCTCTTAAAACCAAAAAGATTATCTTTTGCTGAACGATACAAAGTGACAGATATCGCTTGTGGATATGGTTTTACAGTTTATGCTGTACAATCCTCTGATAAAAATATTGTTTATGGAACTGGAATAAATACAGATTCACAACTTGGTAATAAAGGGTTAAACTCTTTATTTAACTTTTTATTATTTTAAAATTATTAAGTTATTTTTACTTCATTCAAAACAACTTTGGATCTTGACAATTGTATTACAATCTATTCTTCTTGTAATAGGTTTTAATGAAATTGACAAAAAAAAATTCCCTGATAATATGGTGTTTGCTCCAAGACCAATAAATTTGCCACTGAAAGAGAATACTACGACAAAAGTTATAGGTATGGCTGCTGGAAGAGCACACTTGTTAATATTAACAATGGAAGGTTTGTTTACATTGGGCAATAATGCATATGGTCAATGTGGTAGGCCAATTATAGCGAATGAAAATTATGAGAAAAGTAGGGTTGTTCATCATATACCTAATATTAAAGGAAGTAAAATTACTGCAGTAGCAGCTGGTCAAGATCATAGGTATAAAACTCTAATTCAATAATAATTATATAATTGCAATTTTTCTTATATTTTTTATATTTTTCTCATTACCGTTATATAACAGCATACTCTTGACAGAGGTAGGTGAGGTTTATGCATTTGGCTGGGGTGCTGATGGACAAACAGGTCTTGCACATTACCGAAATGAACATCGACCAAGTTTAGTTAAAGGTGATCTAGCAGGACAGCATATAATCAAAGTGGCTTGTATTGCTGATTGTGTGTTAGCTCTTAGTGGTATGTAAGAATATATTTTTTTCTAGATTTAATATAAATTATTAAATAATCAAAACATACAAATAAAAAATATTCCTGCTTAAGATAAAGGGAAAGTCTATGGTTGGGGTAATTCAGAGTATGGACAGTTATCAGTCAAAGGAGATAGTTGTCAAGTATATATTGCTACAGAATTAAATTTACCTGAAGAGATAGGACATATCACAGACATTGCAACAGGTGGATGTTTTTGCATGATTTTAAACAGTAAGTATTAATATCAGTTTTCATTTACTTTGCATGTTATGTATGCTAATATATCTTTGCATTAATTAACATTATTTACATTTTAGGTGCTGGTAATATCTATGTATGGGGATATGGTATACTTGGTCTTGGTCCTCAAGTGCAAAAAATATTAAAACCAACTATGATTCCTCCTACATTATTTGGCAATAATGTATATAATCGTGATATCAAGGTAATTAAAATAATATGAATTTAGCGAAATCCAAAGTTTTTTTTAATATACATTTATATTTATTATATATATATATATATATATATATATATATATATATATTTATATATAAATCTATTTTTATGTATATAGGTAACAAAAATATATTGTGGAATTAGTCAATTAGCAGCACTAACCAATTCAGGAGATTTATATATGTGGGGTGGCAATAAATTTGGATCATTGGGATTAGGACATCGGAATGATCAATTTTTCCCTTTGAGGGTAAAGTTATAAGCTTAATATCAATATTTCCTATAAAAACTTTTATATTATTATTATTATTTTCACAATATGTCTCCACAGCTTAATCATCTACATAAAAATAAAGCAAAATTAAAAAACAATTTTTTAACAATAAACAATATAGAAAAACAATATACAAAATTACATCAAAGTAATAAAATATAAATGTATAGAAAATCTATAAACTATATATGAGAATTTTGCATATAATAATTTGTTATTTTTTCATAATAGGTAGCAGTAGGAGCTCAAGTAAAAAAAGTTGCCTGTGGAGTGGATCATACAGTAACTCTTTGTAAACCTTTTATTTAAAAGAGCTACTCTTTATTCTATCATATATATTTATTTATTAATTATATATATATATATATATATATAACAAGTTTATATATATATATATATAATTTTTTATTTTAACATATTTAATTTTATCAGTTCACATGCGCACACAACACACAAACACACACACATATAGTAATTACAAAATGTTTCATGAACTTCTTGCAGAAATATATAGTATTAAAATATATGTGATATGATTTAATTTAATATTTGACTAATATTGAACATATGTTAATTTTAATTTTACTTATAAGTTAATTTATATAATATTTTCGTATTGTATGTTATAAAAAGATATAAATCATGCTTATGAGTAGGACAGTTATGCTCAGCATATTTATATGTGCACTACTTACACATACCAAATTCTCATAAGAAATGGTATATTTTATCATGTTGGGGAATCTACATACCTCTGTATCTAAAAGAAAGAACATTATATTATGAAACACATTAAAAAAAGAAATATGCGCGATTAAATAGTATTTATTCAATACATAAATATATCCTTTAAAATAGTTAACAATTTAAAGTCTTAAAAAGTTTAATAATTTAATTGTCTATAATAATTGTTACAAATAATAATTATTACTGACAAATTATTAAATTCTTCTCTATGCTTACCTGTACATTGGTAATTTGTTACTGAAGAATTGGCAATTATCGACAAATATAATGAACTGCAAAGATGGATCAAACCAGCTTCATTGCAAGAAAATGTGACAGTATGACTGTTACTATTTATTGATGTACATGATACACTTGTATCTTCTGTGGAATTAAAATTTGAAATAAAATATCGCGATGAACATATTTTAAGATCACCCCAGCCAGAGCCTTCAATCTGTAAAATATATTTATTTATATGATATATAAAAATATTTTCTCTACATTATGTAATTAAAAAATAATTTGTGAAAAAAGGCTTACTTTTATCGTAGAAATATGATCACTATCGCTAGAGAAGAAATAATTCGGGTGCAATCTATAAATAATCATCGTATCTGGTTCAATATAATCGATAAATGAATTGGAAGCTCCAACAACAGAATAATCGGCTCCACATTGCGTATTAATTAAGCGCTGCGGAACTGTGATGACACAGTGTATATGAAAATTATATTTTGCAGAATTCAAAAGAAATATTAAACTATATGACAAATTAATTCGTATATCTACCTTGTTTTATTCTCGAAATTAAGTCAACAATTGTTGAAGTTCCTTGCATATTATCTATAAATGTGGTAGAAAATAAATCGGTTGTTGGATTGCTTACAAAATCTGACCATCTATCTATTGATCCATGCGTCAATATAAGTAACATAGTATCTGTAACAATATCAATTATAAAGTATCTTTCATAATTCATTAAATTTGTAATGATTTGAAAAATTAATAGAATATATTGGGTGAATTAAAATCAATAAAATAAATTTTAACTTATATATAGTTTTCATAAGAATTAAATATTCACCTGGTATTTGTTCCTGCATCTGCCTTATCTGTTCTATACAATAATCCTTGTCGGTATTAGAAACAGATGATGTATATGGAATAATCAAAACTACACTAGATTTTGCATTTCCAAGACCGTGACGTTCATCGTCTAATTTCTTTTTTTCAAAAGAAATTAATTTCTCAAGTAATTTAGCGAAATCGAAACCACTACTAACTGAAAAAATAAGGATTTCAATTTTCGTCTTTATAATAATGTGTTATATTTTACATATATAACATTTAATTTCATTACTAAAATATACGTACCATTCCTATAATTTGTTATATTATAATAGCCAAAATCTAAAATATTATTGGTAGTATTGATTATGATATTACTGTCATAACCATTAATAATTGTAAATTGACTATTGTATTGATTTATTTCTATTTTATCCAATATATTTCTATAAAAAAGTATAAAATATATATTTGCATATTGTAATTATATTTCTGTTTTTTCCTATGGTAATTAATATTCACATATAAATTATACTTACGCGATGGTTGGTTGTATCAAATCAAAAGGCCACGTTGTATCAAGAATAATTGTTAGATCAATAGCGACTTGAACATTATTGAACTTTTCTTTTTCTGTATCTTCGCAGGATAGATCTTTATTCATTGAAGAATCTGGAAAAATTACACGCCAATTTACATCTTATTGTTCTATAAAAATATTTAATTTTGCAAAATATTAGAAAACTAACATAATATTTACCAATATATTGAGATAATTCATTTACCGCTTGCATTGCAAATCTTTCGATTACATTATCGTCTATCGTAGCTTTATGTAAATATTCCTCTAAAACTAACGAAGCACTGTATGCCTATAAATAAAGTATAATTTTTAATATATACACATATTTGAATATTATGATTTTAATATAATTATTTATAATAATTCTTAAAAATTATTGCATATCTGCATATACTATATTTTTTATGATTTTTTTTATCAATTAATTTTATAGTTTATACATATATATTATATAACGTATTACCTGTAATGTCGAATTTCCTGTAAGTGTTTTAAATAACATTTTTCGATTACATGCTCTAATTGATGGATTGAGCAAGCCACGGGGACTATAATACATATGTAAAATCTGCGACAGTTTTAAAGTAGGTATTTTCGAATATAAAGATTCAATTTCGTTAGCAAGAATTAATCCATCGAGATCGCCTCTGATTTCCGCTGTCGTAAATTGCAATTTTTCATTAGAATTGAGAAAATACCAACGAGGCACAAATGATGAATTCCAATTTCCATTTACACCCACACTAAGTTTCTCGTTTGTAGGTCCTTGTATTAAGATAACTTCTGCCAAGTCACCTGTAGTATATAAAAACTTTTTATAATGTCTCAATCAAATGTATTCAGTAAAAAAAATTAGTAAATTGCAATATTAAAAGATATACGAGAGATTAGACTTATAATTAATCAATTTAAATTTCTATTTCTCTATTCTCTTGAAAAGCTCTATGTATTAGAAGCACAGAACATGAAAAAAGATAAATGTATCACCAGCCAAAGTTGCAATCCATTTATTATCCAATGAAAATCTTGATAGATTTTCTCTTCTCTCTGGTGATTCATTAGGAAATACGTCTGATAGTTTCACTATTTCTGGTTGTAATCCAGCAGCTATGCCAGCGATTAATGACCCAGCAGAAACTGGACCCCAGCTATAATAATTCGTTCAAAACGTTGTTTATTAGATTGAAAATTGTAGAATAGATTTTCTCATACATTTTATGAAAATGGATGTGTCATCTACATAACACATAAACAAATTAGCATATAAAATCTATATACTTAGTTTTTATAACACCATTTTCTACAGGACATCTGCTTCTCGGCGGGAATGCGAGAATCCGAGCGCTTTTCGGATGATTCGGAGGTAATTCCGGATAAAACGCATTTGGATCAATTGTATCTTCTGTAATCCCATTTTTGTGATTTGTAATAACATCACTGTACAAAAGAAAATTTTATAAAAAGTATGTACATAGTTAAACTGATTGTAATTACATGTTATAATTACTGCGCTATTATATTTACATTTGTTCAGGTGTTAAAGTCTCTACTTCATCGGGAATATTGAAGTTTGTATTAACAGAATAATTATTGTCTACACTTCTCGCATATCTATACGCATTGTCAGCATACCTACATACTGTCCCTTCGTCACCTCTTTCAAAGATTTCGATACTGCTGGATAGCATGAAATGAAGAGTACACTGTAAAATAATATATTCATTAGACAGAATGATATAGTAATATAATATAAATATAAAATGATATAATAATATAATATAATATAAATGATATAATAATAAAATATTACTTTTGGAAATTACACATTTCTTATTTTCTACATTTGAATAACGTAGGATGAGTTTTTTGTTAAGCTTACTCTTTCAATATCACTGATTATATCGTAAGGAAATGCGATCGATTTTTGCGGTATAAAGTTAAGTATTTGCGCATATTTTTGAGCTTGTCCAGCTGTTCTATATGGTAATACACCAGATTGCTCTAGGACGGTTGGATTCTTTTCTATTCCATCTTGGCGGAATCTATAATTTTTTATGAAACATACCAATGTATTTTTTTGAGTAATTTTAGTAAATAATAAATTTTAGTCTTTTTATAACGAAGAATATACTTTTTTCTAATTTATATCTTTATTTTTTTCTTTTCTTCTGAGATATTATTACAAAAATAAAATTTACCTATGCATAATTCCAACGGCCAGGTTGCGTAAGTCTATATTCAAGTTTTTTGATTTTTCGATTTTTTCAAGAATTGCAATTAATGTATTTAACGTATGGGGTAATCTATTATCTTTCTCTAAAAGATATCTATTTTCATAACATTCTCGAAGCGTCGGTGCAACATTTCGATAGGTATCTTGTGCGAAAATACCTAAAATAATTAGTTTTTGTATGTGCGTGTTCACATTATGTACCATAAATTGTGATGCAAGCGAAATGAAGATTCCTCAAGTAAATGCAAAAATCGAAAGTGTACAATAAAATTTTTTTCACGTACATATAAAAAAATATACATATAAAATATACATATAAAAATATACATATAAAAAAATTTCATATACATACATACATACAGAGAGAATATATCATCTTATAATATAACTTTTCATTTCTTTATCATTTTTGACAAACACACTTTACTAAAATTGATGCATCACAAATATTTGAAATAAAATATTTCTTACCAAAGATAAATAAAGTAATCCAAAAGTATAATCTAATCATCTTGTGATCACTGAAAATCGAAGATACAAAATGTATTGTATTCTGAATTGATATGTTTATTTAAATTATAATAATTATAACACAGAAAGAGAAAGAGATAAGAATATTAAATTTATTTCAAAATGAAGAACTTATTCAGCACTTCAACTTCTTTTAAGAAAGACGCTTTATCCCTTTCGTTTCGCTTAACAAGGTACACCACACCTTTTTAGAGATATAGTAACATCTACCATCACTATCAAAAGATAAGATACGGAATGTTATGAGTAATTTGCTCCCCACTCTCATTTGTAAAAAAAATGATCTTTATTAGAGAATATCCTAATTATTTGATAAATATATATATTGAGATTTTGAGAGATATCATTAATTATTATAAAAACAAACGTAAAACTATTTTATCTTTATTCACATGCAGATATCTACATACATATATATTACTGCGATACATGTATATATGTAAAAACAGATTAGAAAAATTTTTGTTCATAAATTTCAAAAATTATGCATTAATAAATAATATTTTTTAAACAGATATTTTGACAATAACGTATATACATAACAATGTTATTTAAAAAATATAAAACCATTTATAAAAAAAACATATAGATATTGCTTGCAATTCCTTATCTTATCAGCATTGAAAAAAGTAGAACATACAATCTTACTATATCTTCATAATATGTGAGTCATTGGATCGTATGCGAGTCAGGTGTAACATGAGTGTTATATTTGTAATGCAAGCAACAATATTCTATTATTAAAATGGATTTTTTTATAATTTTACTAATAATCTATTATGGTATGTTATAACAAGACAATAGTATTTTTCAATTATTCGCGAAAATGTGATTGGCAATATAAGTTATATGTATATATTTTTGTTGAAAATTTCAATATTTTATTTGTTACATTTTCTAGGAATACGTCCGACAGAATCTCAATTTAGAATACCAAATGAACTTAAGAAATGTTACGTGAATAATAACATGCAAGATTTTCATCTTCCTATGAATATACGTGTACTATTAGATATCATTCGTAAAGCGGAGAAATACACTTACACTACAATGGATATGAGAACAATTTCATCTTCTTTAATGCATAGGTATGTACAAATTTTTAATATATAAGCGGAAATTAAAATATATTATACTAAGATATGATATTTTAAAATGTTATAATTATTATTATTACATTAAAATGTATTTAATACAAATTTTATAATTTGTGTGTGTGATATATATGTATATTGTATTCTTTTGTCTTTTCCCATATTTAGATTTAAATTTGACGGCATCAAACACTATAAAGATGTACAGGCAAAGAGTGGAATATTTCCCTTTGGATTTGGAAGACAAAGTATTAAATACAAACTGATAAAAGAAATGGTTCCAGGAAAACCACAACTTTTTCCATTTGATACACTTACAACAATAGAACAATGCACTTTACATCAAGCTATTTCAAATACAATAATGAAAGAAAATTTGCTTGATACAAGTATATTATGTCAAGAAATCGGCCAAAAATTGACAGGTAATGCTTTTTATTCACACATAAATATTTATATTTATTATAAAAAAATATTTTAAATTAAAATCAACCGTATGATTATAGATAGAAGATTATTTAATAACGATCTAGAATGCCCCGAAGAATACGGCATAGTCCTTACATCACATGGAACTATTGCTCCAGGTGCTATTATAGCAGCTATTGCTGCTTCTCTTCAGCATCAGGATGTTGAATTAAATCAAATAATTAATACAATAACGCCTGGTATAGTATCCATAATTTTTACAATAGAATATATCGTAAAATTTAAATAGCTTGTATAATGATTGATGAAAAATATAAAAATTTATAATATATAGACGTGTATGTTTAAAAATATATAATATATTTAAACACATAATCTTGCTCTTACAGAAAGAAGTACTACAGATAGTACTAATAATCTTGAAGAAGTTGATTTTATTATACCAAGAAATGAAATGATTCATAATAAGTCGATGTCATATCTCTTTTTGCTTAATTCGACTATAAAATTAGACAACATATGGCTAGCAACAATTGCAGGTAAAAATTGCAGGCATAAATTCATTATTTAATAATTCCTTCTTTATCTTGAAATAAAAATTATAAAATTTCTTATATTATTTTTCAGGTGAATTAGCGGAAATGGTGGTATATCAAGGACCTATATTAAACTCTAATATGGAACTTGGAGCTACAGGATTTTGGAATAATATTATGCGTCCTAATGTTTATTATTTAAATAATAAAAATAGCTATTTTGAGGCCACTCGTGCTGAGATAGTTAGTGACATTGATGGTAAATATCTGTAACTTTCTTTATTACAAAAATCAATATATAAATTACCTGTAATTTTTCTGATACTTTAGCTATGATTGGTTGTTCTGTTATCAACATCTAAAAAGCTCTACTATTTTGTTCTATTGTGTTTGAACAGTTTTTGCAATATATACAAAATGCTATAAATACAATTTATCTGTATCCTTTTCTATATTATAGGTCTCATTATAACAAATAAATTGCAAACCTGGATGAACGATTTTAATAGTCTTCGTTTGAGTCAAATCATTGATATGTATTATTCAGATGAAGATATAACTCTATTTAATGAAAATATTAAAGTTTGTGATAGGAAGAAGGCTTTCTCATATGCTATGCCAAAGACAATTTTGAATGAACAGGTTTTATAATATATTATGTAACAGAAATATACTATGTATCTGAAAAACTAAATTAAAATCTATATAGATTTGTATATATTATCATAAATATTATTATATTTTATAGAATGTAAATGTAATATATTAGGATAAGACACACAATATATATAAATTATAAGTATTGTAATTAATATATGTATATAAATTATATGTTGCTCAAACATTATTTATAACAGACATATGCTGCATCTTATCTCTTGGCCAATCATTACGGAATTATGTTCAAATCTCCCGAAGCTCTTAAACAATTGGTTGATTATGCGGTTACCAAGTTCTATACTTATGCGAATGAACATTTTTTGACAGAATCATTTTGTCGAAATTCAAAACGTTATCCACAAGTAGAAGCATTGATCGTATTTGATGGTTCTTGGACAAAGGAATATACAATGAATTTTATCGCGTAAGTCGACATCAATGAATTTCATCGTACTGTACAAAGTTTACAAATATTATACATATTAAAAATAATATAAATATTAATTAATTAATCGACAGCTCTATTTTGCTCCGTTCTTATTAGAACATTAATAGATGATTTGGATATATCAATGTATGGTTCAAAAATGGGAATTCTGGATGCTACATCAGGACAATGGTTGCTTAATGTGACAAATAGTCCTAGTCTTGCCTATCACGCTGTATTTAATTTTACAAAGATTTCATGTGAGTTTTATTTGATATATCGCTTTCATTATGTTATATAATTAATGTTATAAATATTTACACACACACACACATATATATAGGGCCTACGCATTTAAATTTCGATACAGTATTGAATGCAGTATTTAATTACTTGAATGAAACTTGGCAAACAAAATGGCAACAACATACAATAGGGAATCTTGGTCAAGTAATTCTAATATTGGCTCCATCAACTCAGAATTCAGAAATGGAACAACAAATCATTTTCGAACTATTACGAGAAATTAAGCATTTTTATCCTGGTAATAAAATAAATTTACATTCTTTTCAGCTGTATCTTTAAATTTGTTATACATACAAAGAAATAAATACGCTTTTATGCTTAAAAAAATTAATAAATAAAAGAATATAAAAAATAAAATAATTGTATGATATAATATATATATATATATATATATATATATATATATATATATATATAATTACAGATTTGCACTTTTTATATTATGTATCGAAACAGAATTCTCATTTCTTTCAACCATTTATACTATCAGAGCAAGATCGTTTAATAGTTGGCCCTAATATCGATGCTATTGTACAGCATTTGTCAACCAGTAAGTACTACAAGTATAATTTATTATTATATAAATGAGTATTAAGTATATTTGTTAACATATATTTATATGCATAATAAATGTTTATTTTAGTACCGCGAATTCTAAGACCAGTAGTTGTGTCGAAATTTGCGAATGAGTCTTCAAATCTTAAGGATGAAATAGAAGACTATATAAGTCCTTCAAAATCAATTACATATAGATTGCATCCACAGTACATGATTAATACGAAGATGGTGAAAATTACAGTTAGTATTTCCAAAAAATCATCTCTTAAAAAAATATATTTTTCTTCTATTAAAAAGTTAATATGTGAGAAATTAATCAAGAATATTTATTTTTGACTTAATTAATTAATTATATAATTTATTGTGATTATTAAAATTGTATATGCTTTTGATAATCATATATAATATTTATTCTAGATTCATAACTTTGGATATGGAGTGATAAAAGCTTGTTCTTGGAACCAATTTGATGAAGATGTAGTATGTCAGCAAATTGATGTGCACAAAGAAATTAGCATAACGGACGATTTTAAATGCATCAATTCACGCTGTCCTTATATATATCTTCGTATACAAAATGCTACTTCTTTTAATAAATGTGCAGGTAACTTTTTTCACATTCTCTCATAATAAAAATATTTTTTTTTATATTATGCATAAATTTTTATACTTCCATTTTTGTTTTACTTCATTTGGCATTTCAGAGATGGAATGTAGATCACCAAATCAAGTAAGATATATCATAAGAATGCAAAATACGTATTACGAAAACTCGACAAAAAGAGGTTTATTTATAAATGTATTTATAATATTGTATTTACAATTAATTGTACTTAATATGTAAGAATTTGCTATCGTAGTAAATTTAAAAAAACTTAAAGTATCAAATTATATTTGTATTTCATAAATGTAATATTTTATAATTTATATAAAAGCTAGATAAAAATAATTGATATTGATATAAATATTATCAATGAATTTAATGAGAAATTCTAATATATCACATAATACTGTTACTTCATCATTTGATACTGTGCAACAATTTTTCTTTGTTACACAAGATATAAATTATATTTTATCGCATTCACCGATATTTTCCTTATTAATAGTTTCGATAAGCATATTCATATATTAATTTTATAAGAAACTGAAAGTTATTCGATGCAGCAAGCTCTCCAAGTTCTGGTTCTTTTAAAAGCATATCAATGTATGGTAAAATTTCATCTGCTTTCCCACCTACATAGTAAAAATGCACATGAATAATTTATAAAATTATTTCGTAAATTTGTAAACTTATTTTCTACATCGTGCTTACCCATAAAATATGCAAGATCCATTAATTTGAAAAATAATGTCTCTTGAACTTGTTGCTCAGGATTCTTGTCTATGTTGTCCCATTGATTTCGCCGAGCTGCGCGCGCCCAAATTTGTAATCTCATGGATGATTTATCCTCTTCGTGTTCCACGTAATCAAGTAAATCGAGAGCCTTCTTGAAATCATATTCATTGGCTATGACATTGTCGTTCGAAGTATATAACATAATTAATTCTCTTGGTGTGAGCACTCGTAGATTCTTAATGTCGTAACCATACATTGTAAGTACTTGCGCTGGTAGATCCTCTTGATAAGCAATAAGCGTCAACTCGCTATTAATAGTCTTCACACAGTCTTCTATTTTATCTTCCAATTCATCCGATGCGAGTAGAGCCAACTTGGCTAACGAAAGTATTGACTTTTTACGAACGACTAGCTCGTGTTCTTGAGTCGCTAAGGTAAGGAGTGTATTAGCAGCGACTTGCAATTCGTCAGTTAATGCCGCTTGTACCCAGGACAAAGTGGGATGTTCGGATAGCTTTTCCGTCAATTCTGCAGTACCGCGTCTGCATCTTTCGATCAATTGTCCTTGACGTCCATCTTTAACATACCAAGAGAACAAAAACCCAGCAAAATCTTGCGCCGCAAACTTTTCTATATATCCATCGAGTCGATTTTTGTTGTTAGTTAATTCACAAATTTGCACAAGCGAGAGAAAATCACAATATTTTTCAGCTAGCATGGCGGCATTATCATATTGCTCCTCTTTTATCAGTGGTTGTATCAGATTAGTGCGTTCTGTTTCGTATTGTTTTAAAAGTACTTCGAATTTTTCCGTACCACGAATGCTTTCCAAATGACACTTCCTTCCGTCCAATATTAAATCAATTAGACTAACTAATTGTTCGTACAATTCATTCTTGATAGTGGAATCGCTAGTTCCGGTTATACCATATTTAATGGTAATGCTTTGCATCGTATTAAGACAATTCCTTAAGCCATGTTTACCCGGCGCCGCCGTCCAGGGAAGGTATTCGGTTATTTCATTCAAGAACTTTGCAGGAACAAAGCGCTCAGCGTTATATTGACGATATTTCACTACTTCATATAATATAGCCAATAATACAGCGTTAACTTGAACGATATATTGTCCAACTTGTTGCAAGGGCCTCTCAGATTGTGTAATTTCGCAGGCATTTTCCACCAAAGTCGATAGAAATACATATACCGTGCTTACTTCACGATAGAATACATCGCGTGTCGTAAGTTCGTCGGACACATTAGCTTCCTTTTGATTCAATGTCTGATCTATAACCGCATCTATAATTTTAGCATATCTATTTTGTAAATTGTATAAAGTTAACGCTGCTACTATCTTTTCTGCATATTCACCGAGTACATGGGAAGTGGACATGATAGTTCCTCTGCATGTTACTGCACAGAACCTATTCCACAAATTGTGTTCCTTCAAAAATATATTGAAAAGTTCTAACGCCTTTTCTTTTCCTTCCAGTTGATGAGGTATTTGCATAGAAGTGACTGCATTTATCGTCATTGACAGATCCTTGTGATGGATCCATCTTGGATCGTTTGCCGGATAATCGTCGATCAAATCCTTGGCGACTTTTAAAACGAGTGTATCGAGGGTAGCATCAATATCCATCACCGGATCTTCTTGCAGAGGGAAAAGTTGAGAGAGAATCTCGTTGCATTGCATCTTATTTTGTCGTAGACTTAGAAGAAATGCGGCACGTAATTGCGTAGCCGCGTCAGAGCTGCAGTACATATCTTGAAGTTCATCGTTACTTATAAGAGTGGAAAAGTTCTGTGCCGTTTGATTTATTTTATAAGAATAATCCATATTCGTAGTAGCATCTGCATATCCCGCATTGAAATCTTGCAGCGAAAAATCTACCGGTGTAATAGAAACAAAGCCAACGCTTTTTGTGAATAATACTGGAGTCGACGAGCATATAGCACCACCAAGTATACTGTCCTCGCCACCCCTTATTAAATCGATTTTATCCTGCTCAACTTCCGATGCGGTATTAATTACAAGTACATCGTGCTGGTTGTATATAATTGCCTCCCAGCTACATAATACAAAATGATAAGACGCTAGCATCGACTCTATATCGTCGTGATAAAATAATAGCGGACCAATTTTAATTGGTATAAACCATTTAAATGAATTTGACAGTGTTGTATCGGTCAAAGGTAATAATCCAAGAGCAAAATGAATTTGGACAGATATATCGGTACAAGCTGCCATTAGAAGGACTATTCCTTCCTCGCATGTTTGCATATCAATGAACCATGTGTTCATACTTTGAGGGCTTGATTCCCAAATTTTTCTTTGAAATGCTTGTTGAACAATATGAGTGATATCTTCATCAAATTCCATTTTCTCTTGTTCATTAGGAGAAAAAAACCAATATTGCAAGGAAGATCCGGCAAGAATGAGAACTCTAGATCCCCCCTCATCTAGCGATGTACATGTAACTTTCACCAATTTTGTTTCTGCAACAGGTGATTGTGGTATCGCACCAAAAATGAGAGAGGTCATTCTACGACCTATACCACCAAACCATCCTTGACTAGTTCGAAGTACTTGGCATATGATATTGTTTTTCCCATTATTGTATTGTGGTTGTAAGAGTGCCACTGTGCATGTGGTCGTAGCTAGAATACATCCATGACCTGGCACATGTATAAGACAATCTACTTCCTGTCCTGCAAGTTCAGCACTGGTTTCCACAGAAGATCCCTCATGTGCTATACTAGCCCAAAAACGTACCACTCCCTCTGGTGATACTGCCATGCAGCTAGGTACCTATTGGACAAAAATATATATGTATAACAAGTTATGTGTATATATACATATGTAAAATATTTTTTACAAAACTTTTACTCTTCTTCCGATTACTTGATCATGTTTTTGGAAAATATCTATACATATGGAGAATGCATATCCTAAGTTTACCCATGAGATATTAATCTTTGTTAAATACCTGTTGGTTAGGTAGTACCCAAACTGCTATACAATTTGCTTTATGAGCCAAATCACTTTGTGGCAATAACAATTCACGACACTGTGTCTTGAAGGTTCTTCGTTGTTTGGGATCATGAATGTTAGCTTTACATTGCCATACAAGTAATTTGCGACCGTATACAAGCCAGGCCCATCCATCTGCAGATACATTTACACTTACAGTTGTATTTCTATCTACAAATGTTAATGCCTCTGTAACTAAAACTGGTAGTGGAGAGCCAAAGCTTTCTACTGTATGGCTCTGCGTTCTGCATATAACTTGTACAGATTGATTTGTACGCCCAGATATACTTGTTGAACTAAAAAGTTAAGTTAATTAATAATTATATGAATAATACTATTATTTTGAGGTAAGTTTAATTCCATAAATCAATAAAAAATTCAATAAAAAAAGACGTGAATGCTTTTAATAATTTTTTTCTATTATTCTTATGAAGAAACATGTCAATATAAGTATTATACTTAAAAAAAACTTACGAACTATTTTTCTTTAATGATTGAACTATCGATATTCGTTTCCTAGGAGAGGACAACATCCTTCCTAATGAACTTCCTACACTGGTACGATCCATTTTCTTAAAATTAGGCTAAAAAGAAGATTATTTTAACCTTTTTCTCTGAAAACGTTGAAATCCACAGGATACACATATCAAATTTTGCCCCATTAAATATGGCAGCTCTTGCATCACATTTCATTTGAGCCTTATATTACATAGTACATATAGAGCTATTCAACCTAAGATTCTATTCAACCAATGAAATAGCCGTATAACATTTTTAGCGTGTTACTATTGGTCGCGTTTCGCTTGAAAAAATCTCTTAATGGCACTTAACCGTGATTGGCTCTGAAATAATTTTCTCGTCAAGACTCGACATTGATTTGTTGGCGCTCAAATTAAGGGCCAATCACGTTCGATTGCTAGTAAGCGGTTTTTTTTCTGCCGAGTGCGTCTATTATTAGAGAGTTTGTCATCATTATTAGAATATTATAGTGTGTTCTTATTATTAGAGTTTGTTGTATTATTAGATCTAGCATGCTATTATTAGAGCTATCAAATATACACAATATACAGAGATCTGTGGCTAGATTGACGTGATATCGACGTGTTATCGCTGGAAACAAGCAACAGGGCGATGTGAAAAGTCACGTTTGAAGTAAAATAAATCGCTCGTCTTTTTGAATCAACGCACATTTGACATTATTCCGCTTCCAATCGAACCTTTTCGCTCTCGAGAGCGAAGATAACGTGACGCGGAGCGCATTCTTGGTCGTTGGATGAGATTTTTGGAAATTTTCCTAGCGTGAAAACTGCGATTAAGATCGGCAGCCATTTTTAAACTGCCCGCTTAGCTTTAGCTGTATGTACGGTGTATAACGCGTGTACACATGTATAAAGAGGGAACATGGATAATGTTATCCATATACATATTTTGCTCTCGAGGTAGTAATTTCGAACGCGAACGAGCTCGAATGGGACTGCGTGATCGTCGAGGAAACGGAGAATAGGGCCAGGGCCAGGGCGCGAAGGTGACGTTTCGCGAGGAGACGAGCGGTTCGAGGGAGAAACTCGAGAGGCGATTTTTCGCGAACGGACGGTGTCGGAGCGAATACGCTTCTTTCCCGTAAAAATTAATATAATGCAACAGCGAGAACTGTCAACATTCTAAAAGCAGAGAGTATGCCTTCGAACCGTCGTCTCGTGTCCTGTACGGAAATCGGAGCATGTGGTGGTGCGAACGATTGAGAGGAAGCGCGAGAATCACCGCACGGATCTATAGCGTAGATCTCGTAGTAAACGAAGAGACATCCCCGAGAAGAGATCGCGATGAGAGACTGAACGGGACGATGTCGGTTCGTGTCTCTCGTATGTTAAGTTTCCATAATAATGGCAGATAATGTGCACAGAAAATCGCACAAACTGTCGGATGGTAGCAGCAGCAGCAGCAGGAAGGTGTCGAATCCGGTTCACCGCACGACCACGGAGACGATCCGTCTGGGCGAGATAGACAGGCTGCACCAGCCGGTTACCCTGATCGCCCCGGGGAACGTGCAAGCGGGAACGGGACAGTGCAATCGGAAAAAGACGTCGTCCTTTCAGATCACGAGCGTGACCGTAGGCTGCCGCATGAGCAATGACGCCGGCGAGGACTCGAACGACGACCTGGACGAGTCGCACACGGAGGACAATTCCGTGGAGCACTCGCGCATCACCGACCTCGACATCGAGACGCCGAGCTACTCCGAGGACACGTTCTCCAAGGAGGACGTGTTCTTCAACACGAGCCACGCCGCCCTCAGCACGGCACCGGTGATCCCCACCAGCTCCCAGTACGGCCTGGCCATTGTACCCTCCGAGGGTGGGAATGTCAGTAATTCGGTTAACGATAGCAATATCAATACTCTGGATATCACATCCGTCACTGACAACAACATAATCAATCTACTGTCGAGTAATGTTAAGCAGGACTCCGATCTGCGGGAGGTTCACTCTCACGGCAGGAACGAGAGATTCAAGGTAGTCAAGATCGAAAGTACCGAGCCTTTCAAGCGAGGACGATGGACCTGCATGGATTATTTGGATCATACGTCCGTCAATCAGCCTACAGCCATCGGTACTCCCAAGGTGTCGGATCCAAACGAGGTGTGCATATCTTACGGGGTGACCGACAGCGGGATTGTCGTACCGGAAGCTGCGAAGCAATCCGTAGTGACCGACGACAAAGGAATTAATATTGACACTAATGGACCGGTATCGTCTCACCAGGATAAAGTGCATTCGTCGATTGCCGTTTCGAGCAATCCTGCACAATCGGTTTCGAGTGCAAATTATGCGGTAAACAATTCGATATCTCCTAATGTACAGCATAATCCTACGCAGCAAACTCAAGCTACGGTGCAGCAGGCGCCTACGCAACAAATCCCGCAATATTTTCAATCTCAGACTCAACCGATAGTCACGCAGCAGCAACAGCAGCCTCCCCAAGGGGGTCAAGGATCTACGTTACCCTCCAATTTGCAGGCCACTCATCCTAACAATTTAGGGCAACCTCAGAGCATGCCTCAGGGTTCTATTCCTATTATAACTCAAACTAGTAATAGCACGGTGACATCGCAGCAAAATATACCTCATTCCAACGAGGAGACGTATGTTACGGTGAGCACGCAGAATCAATCCTTATCGGTTCAGAATATTTGTCAGCCGGTGCAGCAAACTTCGGTCCCGACATCTCAGACTCCAAACATTCTCGTTACGCAGCATCAATCAGACGCAGCTTCCTGTCAGCAGCCTTTGCAAACGCAAAAACCACAGATGACCCAAATTTCCGAGCCACTAACTGCCATACAGGGGATGCAGGGCATGCAAAACATTCATAAAGTTCCTCAGACGGCGCAGCAAACCTCGGTACAATCCCAAGTGATCGCATCCTCGACTCAGCAGATACCACAACCGCAAACATCTAGTAGTACTGCCCCGGTGCAAATTACGCAAGTGACGACTGGCTGTCAAAATGTCGTGAGTGGATTGCAGCAGGGAAACATTGCATTTCATCAATCTGATCCCGAACAAGAATCTATCTCTGGTATTGTTGCCAATGCCGCTACCATACAGTCGGCCGATGCAACTCTCCTGGAATCATCGTTAGCTGAAGTGACACAGGGCAGCGACGAGCATCGTACTCTCGAAGATAATGAAAGGTATTTCTTGTAACTAAATTAAAATCTTATAAATCTAAAAACGAACATAGTTAATAATTTATATATACGCATAACTTTAAAGTTTTGGATCACACTCCTTTTATATTATATATATACTTTATTTATACATTTCTACTATGTGCATACTTAAATATATATATATATATATATATATATATATATATATACATATATATATACATATATATATATATATATATATATATATATATATATATTAATGAATTTATATTACAGTATGTCGGGGACAAGCGCTGTGGCAATTGATAACAAGATTGAACAGGCTATGGTAAGAGACTGCCATAATCGAGCTATTTAATGCTTGCTAACTTAATACATGATAATGATTGTAAAATATTGTAATCTTTCTTAGGATCTGGTTAAAAGTCATTTAATGTTCGCGGTACGAGAAGAAGTGGAAGTACTAAAAGAAAAGATAGCTGAACTTATGGATCGTATCAATCAATTGGAAGCAGAAAATTCATTATTAAAAGCGCACGCAACTCCAGAAACGTTGGCGCAATTAAGCCAATCGACAGCAAAATTACCCCAAAACAGTTCAGGAAGTGGTCAATAGGTAACCATTGTACATAAGTTTCTATCTCTCTCGATACTTTGTCAAGTAAATAATTGATAATATAATTATTGTATATAACTCTTTACGAGATTTTTAGAAATTTATAAATAATGAGATTTATTATATTATATATAAATATATATTAGTATTAGACTTTTTTTTAAGTAAATTAAAGATAATGGATTATTTTTTACTATTTCAGTTTACCATATATAGGAAAAATATATTTAAAACTATACAAAAAAAACTTGAAAATTTTTTTCTTTTTTAAAATAATAAATCATTTCGAAACTATATATTGTTATAATTCTGAAAAAAGTGAAACATATACATGTGTATACCGAGACTAAGCAGTGTTAGAGTGACAGAGTTTACATTATTTTATATTAGAAACACGATTTCCAATGCTAAAAAATAATTGTTTAAAAAAGTAAACAATACAGCAGAATAGGCAGCTTGACATTCCTAGATTCCTTTTCTTATTGTTTTAATGGTTAGTTAATTCAAATTACGAATATTTTCAATTTTAAATACACATACATACGCGCGCGATGTGTATACACATACATACATACGCACATCATACACACACACACACACACACACACACACAGTGTAATTAGAAAGATAAACAAAGAGATTAATAATATTTTTGTGGTATTATACCATACAATTTACTTGTTGCATTCATTGTTAATAATTCTACAGTTTTTCTGTTGAAAGTGAAATATATATTAATTAAAAATTTTGCTGCTGAATGTTAAATCTTATATTTTATACTTTGATTCATACATAGTCTTTTAAGTTTCGCACATATGTATAATGTGTGTGTATGTGATATATATTATATACATATACATATATATATATATATATATATATATATACACACATACATATATATTTATATATATCATGTCATATATCACTTATTATTCAAGAAAGTTGCTATTGATATACATAAAAATCCTGTTTATCAAAAAAACTTTGTCATTATTTTATATTATATTTCAAAAATGCGTAATAAAAACATTTTTATCACAATGCGAAAATTTTTAGAGATTAATAATTTTTATGTGAAAGAAAAGAGTACATGAATAATGTAAAGATATAATTATAATTGTTTATGTGAAATAAGTTTATTAGACAATTATTAAATTTATGTGCTTCAAGTAGAATGTGAAATATATATATATATATATATATATATATATATATATATATATAAATTCATAAAATATAAGTAAATGAAGTCTCGTATAATTTTCGAGAAAATTCTATTTGTTCGCTATAAAGAGAGAGAGAGAGAGAGAGAGAGAGAAAGAGAGAGAGGGACTAAATAAAACTTTATATAATATAAAGCTCTCTCTCTTTATGAAGATAAAAACTACTTTTCAGGAACAGAAAAAAATCATATGCATAATTACACCTTATAAATTTATAAATGTTAAAAATTTTTTCTAGAAGGAAAAAATAACAACATATACAACTCCGGTCTTGTATCATTATCAACAATGTGACTTTGTTTTGTATACAACATTTTGTATACAAGTCACACAAGATTAAATTCATACAAATCCAAAATTTTTTGATTTAATAGCGAGAAGTAGTTTATGTCGTAACACATGACGAGAGCTGTACAGTGGAATATATAATCGGGAAATACACGTATTTGCGGTTGGTAGATGCGCATCGTCCGCCGGCCGGATTGTTACGGTCGGCATCGGTGTAAAGCCGTCTTCGCTAGCAGGTAGCGCGGGAGAACCGGTCCAAAAATATACCTATAATATATGAAAATAAATTATCATGTCGATATAATCATAAGTAATTATATTACATAAATATTTATATTAATTTGAAAGAAAAAATAATTATCAATTTATAAAAACTTATAAGTTTTTAAGTAGGGAAATAATTTAGCGCGCAGAAAGTCTTACCAAGTCTTGCCTTTCGACATGTGACATTTTCTCAACGATAGACCACAACCAACGTTTACATTTAACTAATCTCTCCGTTGATTCACCAGACTCGTTGTTAAATGACGTGTACGATATCAGAACTGATACATTAATATCTCCGACTCCGTTCAAAAGGAGTCTTAAATCCTCAGAAGTTAAACCATCGAGCGCTCCGTCGGGAAGGACATCGAAAACTCCATCGCGCATAGCTTGCAAAGCTTTTTCTTGTACCTTGATCATACGAACTTCAGCATATTTGCGTACATAATCATATACATTGTTTGCAGTTACTTCTATGTCACGGCCATTGGGCACAAGCTCAATTGAACCACCTCCTTCTTCGGGACATAAATCAATACTGAAATGCAAAATGACGTTTGAGATGATAGCTTCAAGTGCACGCACGCATGCACACATATATAAGCATACAATATCTTCTGTAAATATCAGAATGAGAATGCGTGAAATTTTTCGCTTTCATATTACATACAATAGATAGAAACAAACAAATCACTTTTTTTATCGAAATCGAAAATTACTTTTAACTTCGACAGAATTGATTTCTTGATCCCCCTCCCCTCCCCTCATCCCTTAGAGTGAGTTTCATGAATTGGCGTAACAAGATTCAAAATTGTTTACGGATTATCGGATCACGTTATATATATATATATATCAGTTGTTAGAAAAGTTTCAAGACTTATGAAACACATAATATTTATTAAATTAAATGAAAAATGATGAATATAGAGCGAAAAATTAACATTATTAAAGCTAAAAAAGCGTTTTTCGATTTTAATATAAATTTTTATAAATATAAATTTTATAAATATAAATTTTTTTATTTATTCACTTACTATAAATAAAAGCATTTCCTATAAACAAAAATAAATAAATCATTTACATTATCAAAAGCGAAAACAATAAATAAAAAATCAGATGCAAATAAATGAAGCAAATATAAAATTGTACCTGAATGTAAGATCTAATGCAGAGAATAAACTATTGCTGTCTTTCGTTTCAGCATCGATGACCAGTTGTCGCAGACTTTCATAAATAACAGAATCGAAAAATGCAAGATCGTGGAAACGTATAGGCCTTCCCAGGATATATTTAATTACATGACGATTTAAAAATAGTGGACAAAGCTCATTTTGTAAGAGGCACAATCCTATAAGTCTAAAAGCAGAAACAATAAATTTTAAATTTTAATTATTACACATTGTAAAACAAATTTTAATTATTATATGTGTACATATATGTCAAAATGAAAATGTAATCAATATGTAATCAAGCACTTGAAACTTACCTTCCTACATTCCTGAATGCATTTAATCGTTCGTAACTGCCTCTGCCTTGTCTTGGTGTATAAAAACCACGTTTACCGGGAGAATAAAAAAGCGGTGCATTGTCTTCGGTGTCATCTAAAATGCTATTTTCCAGTTTCTTCTTATTTGCTGCACAACGTTCGGTTAAGCTAAATACATCGAGATCCAACATTTCACTGGTCAAATCTTGAGTATGACTATGAATCAATTCAAATGCTTCTTCCACTTTTTGTCGGAGAGCATCCTCCGAAGCCAATAACATTAATAATTGCGCCGGTGATAATTCCAATAACATACCAGTTATCTTTTCAGCCAATGCTGGTCGTAAAGCATGTATCTATGTCAACAAACAAATAATAATTATAAAAAAAATCTATTAAATAGATTTGTTCATTACTGAACAAATATAAATTTTAATTATATTTTTAACAAGTGCACGATATAGAACCTTAGGATATAATCTGTCGCCGAGCTGTTGCTGATGCATGGTCAAGTGTTCATTATTAGGATGATTAATCGGCAAAGGATGAGTACTGGATGATGAGCTACCAGGAGTAGAGCTATTGTTTCCTTCGATTGCATTAGATGGGTGGAAAGAACGAGCATCGAAAGATAAAGTCCGACGTGTCTCACGGCATTTTCCAGAAGATCGTGTATTCTGAAACAAGATTGTAAACTAATATCGTATAATATATTCATACATACAATCTTATAATAAATTGAAAACTAGTCTTTTATAAACATACTTGTCGTCTGAGATCACGGTCACGATCTCTACTTTTCAGTTTCTGTAGAACGTTATATTGCGTATATTTTGATCCCACTTGTGCCGCTTCGAGATTTGGAAGTTTTTCGTTCGCAAGTAGTGCCTAAAAAAATAATAATATAAATCCTCTTATAATTAAAGATTGCTAATTTTATATTTCGTTTTACAAACTTCAGCAATCGCAGTATAAAAGCTTCGAGTAACACCGGCTCCTTCGCCAGGTTCATCCTTGAAAAAGACTTTAACTTGATTCACTGCCAAAGGCGGAGTGTTCGAAGCTCTTCTATTATATATATTATATTGCGTATTTAATTCCTTCATTGTTTGCACTAATAACTGTGTTCTATCTCGTTCCACCTGGCACGAATAATAATTTGATATTTGATAATTTATTATATACATATAGTTTATACGTCATACATTATTAACTTATGTCAACACATTACCTTGATGGTAATATCTTTTTGTTGCGAATTTCTAAGCTTTTCCATATCTCTACGGAATTTAGCTTCTTTCACGGGAAACCCTCCTAATTCGGATACAACAGATCCGGCTTCTAAACCTACATCTTCCATAAAAACTCGTCCAAACAAATCCAACGCTAACCGCCATCGTCCTAATAAGATATTATGCGAGATATTTGTCCCGATTGATGATACTGCTTTGGCGGAATCTACCGGACTCGTTTCAACGGTTTCATGAGCAGATATTTCATGATTTGTGGCAGCTGGGTCAACTTCTTCAGATACATTTTGGCTATCGATAGTTGGCACAACCAATATTTCAGGCGCACCGATTTTCGTGTTTGATTCCTTCGAAAAATAAATTAATAATATAATACACATATAAACACGCACACACAAGATCTCCTAGAATTGGTGCACCACCTGTTAATAATAAATTCTTGAGACTATTTGAAAACTTTTTTCTTCAGCAACAATATTGAGAGAGATCGTCACACATTTTTTGCAAATTTCTAATTTTTGCCATATATAACTTTGTATAACTAAAGCTTAAATTAAAATTCTATTAAAATAATTCCATTTGAAGAATATAGCTTTGTTATGTTAACTTTTAATTCTTCACGTCTAGGTATAAATTACGAAAAATCCTTCTTCATCAATCATTTATAACTAAGAAATTATTAATCTTGAATTATTGATATTGAAATTATTAATGATTGATTATTGATATCTTGAAATTTTCTCTGAAGAAAAATCGTCTCTAAATAATTCTAAAAATTCGTCATTAGCAAATGCGCCAATTTTGAAAATGTATATGTAGACATGTGTGTGTGTGTGTGTGTGTGTGTGTGTGTGTGAACATTTATATATAATATTTGATATATATAAACAAAATAATTATGATATCATTTACCGATACTGTTCCAGCTCTGACTATGACACTTCTATTATTTTTGCATATGTCTTTGTTTTTGATGCTCGTTGTTGCATCACTTTGATTATTTGTAGATACTATAATTGGTGCTCTATCAATTTGCTCTGCTACGAGAGAATGCCCTTCATTAGCATGATTACATGATTTTAATTTATCCTGAAATTTGTTGTATTAATTATTAATTTATATACTTTACCTCTTAATATTTCGCTTGTAAAAAACATTTTGTAAATCATCATGTATAAGAAAAGAGAAGCACTTTAATATTATTATAGGAAAATATTTTACCATATATTTGATAGAATTCAATTCACCAGTGGAATTTCTTCTTGATTCTGAATTAGAATTAGAAAGCGGTCCTTGTACAACTTGGCTAAATGTTGGAGTCAAGCTGTTATGACTATCGGTACCTTGTCGTGCAGAGAGACCTAGTCTTGTCGGCAAACCTTCCAAAGAATTTTGACTAGATCCATTTGCATTAGAACAAGTTGGTTGTCTCGGAATACCAAAGAGATCTTCGCGTCTTGAGTGTGGTTGTAATAAATGCGGCTGATCAGCCAATGGCAGCGCTTCACTTATTACAGTGTCAAATGGATCTAGAGGCGGACAACCAAGGCACAAGGTAGAATCTGATCTTTGTAAAAAAGGATGTTTTCTTCCTTTCGGTGTCGAATTGCCGTGATTTCCAGATCCACATATAGGTACTTGAAGTAAATCTGGATAATCTACAGAATCTGTTTCCATGGCAGTTGGTGCTGGCGAATTATATTCCTCACCTTCGTCATTATCATTTTCATCCTAGAAATAAGAGTTTTATATCAAGAATTTTTAAAAAATCGTTAAATAATTATATATGATAATTCATATATGATTTTCGAAATTCTTAGTATGCAAAAAATTTTTGTGTTTTCATTACTATAAATAGATATCGTTTTAACATCAAATCTAAGTTTAACAAAATTATACTATTTTTAACTTTCGTATGTTATTTACTATTATATCTATTTAAATATATATATATATATATATATATATATATATATATATATATTTTAAATAAAGCCATTCTCACATACCTGATTATTCCAACTGGAATAAGTCGATGATTCTTTCTGAGTCTCACCTCTAGAAGCGAGAGGTTCCGAAAGAGATCGCATATAATATACAAGTGCATCAAATACATAAGCGACATGTCTTAAAGCTGAGACGTCTAAAACTGGTAAACTATCTCTATGTTCGCTGTTGTGAGCACGCATTAAAGACAGGCAATATGATAAAAATTCGCGTCTTGCCAAGTGCGCCTCATTACCTAAAATATATTGCAAGATTTTTTTTTCTTTAGTTGTACAAAAACTTTCGATAGTTTATATGTGTGCAATTAAGTACATAAAGTACGTATTCTAGAGCATGATAAAATATAAACAGTCTGATAAAGTAATAAAAATATATAGCAAATGTAGAGAAAAATTAAGGTTTTATAGATAGATTATAAGGCAAACCTTCACGTTCTCTACTACTCCTCGGAGGCTCGCCAACTCCTGCAAAACCAACGGTAAGCCGTGTTGAAGCTTGAGGAGTGGAGATATTTGAGCTCGTGCTGATATTGCCGCGAGGATTCCGACCTGTATTTCCTTGTAAAGTAAGCGAAAGAGCGGCTGTGTTCAATAAACCGCTAAAATTACTACCCGACAAAGATGGACTATTATTAAGAGGATGTTCGGGATGAGTCGGATCCGCGCTACGTGTCAAAGATACTCCGAATCTCAACTGTGCCTCTGTAGCATCCATCACCGTAAGTAACCAATCCCAAGTAGGCTTCAAGTGCGCTTCTAAATATGACTGGAATGAAAGAAATGATTTGTTACTACTCTTACTTGACTTATAAAAGCTATTAAGTACAATATGATGCAATAAAACTGGAATAACTGGAACAGAATGTCTATTTAAATAGTGTAAGAAAAATTCTCTTTTTCCAGATAAAAATACTTTAAAGATTTATATTATATATATGCAACCTCCTATTCTAAAATAAGTTTTTTTATTGTATGTATTTTCGAATGCTTTTACATACCTGTAAATTTAGAGCGTCTTGAAAAGTAATCTCTATCAATCGTGGCAAGGTGGGCGCTAGATTCTTGTAATCTTGCATGATGACTAATAGATCGGCAATTTGCCGAATAACAATTCCGAATGCTCGTGCCAGGCAACTAGCAGTAGTCCCCATGGTTATAGGTTCTTGCGCAGTTGCAACGGCCGATGTGGCAGTTCGTCTTAAAGATGCGGGATCAATGAAAACCAAATTACTTCCACCTGTTACTCGTAAACCCGCTGTGCGCGTGTTCGATTCATGATTGCGTATCGCCCATTGCATATATACAGGTGCAAGATTATTACGATGTAAATGACCGGACGATCCACTGAAATAATACGAAAGCAGTTCCTCATATTTAAGATTCATCGAAATATTATTCGTTTGTTTCGAATGATGAATCATATCTTTAGAGTGTATCTATTCAATCTTATAAAAAAAGTCTCTGATTTTCAAAATACTTTTGTTCAAAATTTTAAGTAAAGGGAATATTTTAAAAATCTTTTGGCATACATTTTTAAAATAATTTTTATTGCATGTGGTTTTTAATATTTTTCACTTATACGAAGGAAAAGTGCAAAGTCTGTTCCTAAAAATTCTAGGTTTTTTTCTA